ATTTTTTTTTGTAACAAAGTTCTTTGTTATAAATAACTCTGACCCAGTTTCGCTTGCACTGTAATACTGTAAAAGTACATTTCCTTTTTCAAATGTATTCTTGACCTTTTGTGTTCTTAGAGAAAGTACACACGCATGCGCAATACCCACTCCCACCCCACACATACATACACAAGCTCACACATACATACAAGAATATAAACTGAACAGAAGAAAAACGAATATTCGGAAATTTCATAATGAAAACTAAAAAGAACAAAACATACTAATATTCAATTCAAATGTTTACAATTTTTCTTTTGATTACTAATTGAATTAAATGCATGCATGTACGAATAAACGAAGGAAGGAATAAATACCAGAAATGGATAGATAAATAAATCAATGCATGAATAAATGTATCAAATATGGAATAGCTTACTGAGCCAGACTGATAAATCGATTGATCGATTATAAGAGTGTTAAATATCAGATATTGTTCGATTATGATAGGTAATTAGAACAACCGTTGAAATGCACATCCTTCTTTGGCAGCGGTTTTGAAAATTAAATTTGAAATTTTAATATCTCTTAAGATAATAATTATAAAGTAGTTACGATATCAAATTTCATGTATGTGATGAATGGATTTACGACTCAATCAATTTTTTTAAAGAGAAAAAGTGTATCAACGATGATATTTACCATAGACTTGAAGCAAGGAATGTGAAAACGATTATTTACATTTGAATATTACATCCATTTCGTTAATTATATCGACTGTCAATCATCCTAGTTATGAACGTCATGACAAAGTCCATTTACATGTCCCACATTTTTCCTTGGAGAATTTCAATTGGAAAAAGTGTATAAAACTCATATGGTCATTCATCAACATCCGTTTTGTCTTGCGCATGATCTTAAATAGATTAAGGCATCACGCTTACCTTCTCCAAATGCAACGTTGACAGAAATCAAATAAAAGACAGAAAAATGTGGTTTTAAAACTTCTTAGATTGAACTAAACGACAATCCCATTGGTGGAAAAGAAGAAATTAACAAAAAATATGTCCTGTAATTTATATCACTGATGAGAAGATAAACATTGCACGATAAGTAATCGTCGTTAATTTGTTTATAGTCAAGCTCACTATAAATGCATGTTACAAGCAATATCGATATCGCATCAGCATTCATTTCTTCTGGATGTGGAAATTAACAAAATACAACAGGACATCAAGTCTTATAGTGAAAGACATTTGTCCATAATCCATATACCATAATCTATATACTGCATAATGTATGTGCCCTAAAAGTTCTCTCTCTCTCTCTCTCTCTCTCTCTCTCTCTCTCTCTCTCTCTCTCTCTCTCTCTCTCTCTCTCTCTCTCTCTCTCTCTCTCTCTCTCTCTCTCTCTCTCTCTCTCTCTCCGATGATGTTTTCACTTTGTACCGTAAGTCTTGGATCATTCTAACCTTTGTTGTAAATATGAAACAAAACTGTAGCCTTTTTGCAAAAACATAATGGAAAATTCTACTAATCAACTAATATTGACGATCAGATAGTTTTAGCGGTGATAGTAAAAATAGTCTTCAAGACTGAAAATTATTCTGGAAACAAAATGTCCTCTCCTTGGTCGATTACCCGAAACAGCTTTATAAATATAACATTTTTGTTTCAATGAATATTCCGATAATAACAAATATAATAACGCAAATAAAAGAAGTTACTTTTTAATTTAGGGTACAATCTCTAATATGAAAGTGACCAAATTCAAATATTTAAGTACATTGAAGTACAAGAATACAATTATTAGAAATGTCGCTGAAATAAACTTAAATAAAATATGTTTGAATTAAGTCGTGTACAATTGCAGGAAGACTATATCAATATTATGAAATTGACATCTACACTCGGCACCTCTTTTTTATTTTCATCAAACATTTATTATGTGTTTGCTTCATTATTCTGCAAGTAGGTGCACCTCGAGTTCCTACCGTTAATGATTCTTTATTTGGATAATTCTTGGTCATTTAGGTATAAACGTCAATGTGCGTGTGCGTGTGGAATCTTGTAACATGGAGAGAACATGTAACTCTGTAATTTGTTTTTACTTTTAAATTCAGACAAACAATGACTATAACATGGATAGGATTTGCGTTTTGTTTTGCTTTGGGTTTTTTGGCCACTTGCTCATTTTTGCGAGTTTGCAAAAACTAAACTTCCAAAAATTAATTATATTATTTATTAAATATTTTAAAATAGGATACATTGTTTCCTACGTTGATATCAGATATTTTTTTCATCATGTAAAATCTGGACGAGTGGCAAAGTGGTAAAATGTAAAATGTCATTTTATCTGTTTTATTTATCTATTTTATTTGTTGTTGTTTTAAAAGAAGAAATATATCTCTTATTTACCTTTAAGAGAAAGTTCTGATTTCAATTTATTACCAAATATGCTTCTCAATCAAAACTTTTATGTTTAAAGTCACTTTTCAGCAATCCACCATTACCTCTCTTTTCGTACTTGTACTAAAATTTCAATCGTAGTTTAATTTATTGGCTAATCATAAAAACATATCCATGACTATCCTGTTTGAAATTAATTAAAATATGGACCTTCATCTGAAGTTTTGACATTGTTGTCAATGTTGTTAAATGGGCATAGCTTCTTCAAGAAGTTAACATTGACAAATTAAATATCGACCGCATAAAAATAAAAGTAATAATAATAGTTGTAATGCCTTAAAATTCGTGTAATTTCTATTTATTGTTCAAGGTAAAAACAAATGCTCGATTTTATTGCCGATGTATAATGTATAAAAGTACACGCAATCAACCGTCACATATCATGATGGTAACGCGTGTATTTAAACGTATGAAAATATATAAGAATATAATTTTCACACCTGAAAATAAAGGAATTTTAAAAATTACAAATATTTCACAATACTTTTCTATATTTCAAATTGAAGTAGGTGATAAAATTATAGTTCAATACCTTTATCGTAATCCAACAAGTTTAGAATAAAAATGAACTGCTTCTTTTTATATCATTTGTATTTTCTTAATGCAAAACTTAACGTCTGCAGCTTGTGTTTCTTATTTATATTCGAATTATGATTATGCATTTCAATGATTGCAGGTTTGTCCCTGAAATAATACAAAAGTAAAAAATTAGCAAATCATTTCAAAATGGAAGTTTACTGTCTGTGTGCTTATCTGTCCGCATGCCCATCCATGCTCTAAAAATGTTAATGTTAACGATTTTCAGATTAAGCTGAAAGTTTTCAGATAATTATAAGACATGATTAACTAGAAACAGTCTTCTGTATTAGTGACAACCATGTTAGCGTAATTTATTACACAAAATATCTGAAATAAATAAATAAATAAAAGTATCGCTACTTCAACTTTATAGAAGTGTCATAGTAACCTATTTTTCCAGAGGTGATATTATATCGGATAAATATCTACGTATATGGCTAACTAAATGATGGGCAACAAATATGCTGAATTACTTTGGTTGTGTCTAGTCATCTGTACCTTTTCGCCCAAAAATGTCCAGTGTGACCAATGTCCACAGTTAGGGATTTCACACTAAATATTTGATCTCACAGGGAAAAAATAATTTCAAGACAAGTTTCGTTTTGCATTTAACAAAGTATACATATATGTTTTTGCTGATATGGGTACAAACAGAATGAATACTAATTTTTCACATTGTACTTAGCACTTGCTATCGGTGAAGGCAACAGACTGGTCCTGATAGTAACGTATCTTATTTGTTAGATTTCATCCAATCTGACAGTTGACGGTGAAATATTTACGGTGTCTGGAATACCAAGCTAACGATGTCAATCAACGGTTCGGTTTTGCGTATTTGACAAGTGCCAACTGCGTTCAGTATACTACACGGTGTCGTAGTTTCGGACCTGTATTTTCTCTGTTACAACCGGGAACTGGACTTGAACTGGTCTGGCAGATAGCGAATCCACGACCTCGTATTACGAGTCCAATGCTTGACCAGCCGTTACTGAGGCCCCTAATCAGTAAGATAGGTGGCAGTTAAGTCCACGCCCCTTCAAAATGCTTGTGAAAGTGTCTGGTTAACGTACTCTTGATAAAAATTGGTGTTTTGTCAGACGCTGGTATTATTAATTATTATTAATTAGGTCATAACAGAGTTACAAAGGTCTCGTACGCTTTACATTGGGTTTATAATTTTCTTTCACCGTGTTGTTAATGCAGTTAATAGAAAATGAATAGGAATATTCTATTTGATTATTTAATAAGAGACAAACTCTCGGACTGCATAACGCTACGATGCAACAAAGTAGGAAGATACGTCACATCGATGGCGACACCGTGTAAAGATGACGTCATTTAGACCTGCTCAGTAAGAAGTTATTTCACGGAAGTGGATAGTCTTTTGTATCTCTCTCACTGTGAAGGAAATTTTAGATGTCTAGTTAAAATAGCTATGACTTTTTATTTTCTTTGATGATTGTTTTTATTATCATAACACAAATATCAGTACCGCCCTTCTTACCTAAATACACTTGATGTGTGCTAGTAAGTGTTCAGTGTTTACTACATTCAGCATGGCACCATCATAATTAATTGCATCGGGGAGAAAGCGAGCGCGCGCGCGCACACACACACACACACACACACACACACACACACATACGCACACACACACAAACACACACGAGAATAAAAGACTATCAGTTATCTTTAAAAATGGATTCTGGATAAGATCGAGTCACACTTGTTTACTCCGACAACATAAATACAAAACGGGGAACGATTTAGGAAGCAGTGAATATTTATTAGCTGAGAGAAAGTACTTGTACGTGTGGATTTAAGGGAACGTTAACCATTTTTGTTGTCTACTTTGCAAGAGCCATCTAACACCATGATGTGAATGTTTCTGTATTCATCTTGGCGCACTAGAACATTCAAACTAGTATTAGGTAAATAGCGCGCAATTGCACCCAAACCATGCCAGACCGCTCCATAAAGCCTAGTGTTTAGAACGTCCGCCTTGGACGCGGGAGGTCGTGGGTTCGAGTCCCGGCTGTGTCATGCCAAAGACATAGAAACGGTACTAACAGCAGCCTCGCTTGGCGATCATCATTAAGAAGTTAGAGTTAGGACTAGTCGGCCTAGTGTCAGGATACTGTGATTGGGTGGAAGATGATACTACATGTCTGCGGCATGATACCCCAATTCTAGACATCACTATAAACTGCCATATCAGAGACATCGTAGCGATATAGCTGAAAAATTGCTAAAACTACGCTAAAAATCCAAACTATACACACACTCCAAGCCATGCCACAACGGCATAGACGCTATCTATTCTTGTAATACCTAATGTGATATCCCTTTATATATATATATATATATATATATATATATATATATATATATATATATATATATATATATATATATATATGTGTGTGTGTGTGTGTGTGTGTGTGTTTGTGTGTGATTGCAAGATAGGATCTTGACAGTTTCCAAGTTATGAGCCAAACGCAATTCCCGTATTTACGTAATGTGATCCATGATCTGTACACGTACATTAACTGGTCGTGTTCATTAAATGCATTCAGTGTTACAGGTAGGGACATCAACAGCTTCCAAGTTACGAGTCAGGGTGGGGGTGGGGGTAAGGTTTGGGGCGCATATCTCAGAGTCTGTACTTGATATACGACTGGTCCAACTCATAATTTTATTCAAACATAAAAGCAGAAGTTAAGCCCCTAGGGTAAGTTCCCTTTTCAAAGCTCTTGATTGAATTTATGCCTGATTTGTCAACATCATGCACTTTAAACCTTTGTATGCTTGGGATATCAGCAGTTGTTAATTTACACATGTGGGCAGTATTCCCCATTCCCTGGGGCAAGACCCTAAGGTGAAATTTAAAAAAAAAAAAAGAAAACCTTACTGATTATGTTACCGCCATGGCCTGCACGATTATATGCATCAACTTTCAAATCTTCACTAGCCATTCATTAGCCCTATTCATATGGGCCCAATTCCCAGTCTTTTGTCAGAATTTGTACAAATACTATGTACATCTACAGACACTCTCTCTCTCTCTCTCTCTCTCTCTCTCTCTCTCTCTCTCTCTCTCTCTCTCTCTCTCTCTCTCTCTCTCTCTCTCTCTCTCTCTCTCTCTCTCTCTCTCTCTCTCTCTCTCTCATCTTCTTGAGTCCATACAATGACACCATTAGTTTGTATGGAGCATATCAGATTGTAGCCCCAAAACAAAACAACGTGTTTAATAATTGAAGAATGATCTCCCTCCCTTAGCAGCAATATGGTTAATTAAAAAATGATCCGTTTGCAGTTGGGCTCGATTTATAATCTTACATATGGTATCCTCAAAGTTGACCATTGACCTTATGTGCAAGAAGGTCATGCTGGACTGATGCATACATTAGCATAGGCAGAAAAGCCCTATTAAATATTTCTTTTTGGCATACATTTATCTTATTCCAGATACAATGTTGATAATTACGAATCAGAGGTAAAATATTCAAATTTATTGCAATAGTAAATGTGTAACAACGTCATAAATCTGTGTCGTAATGTTTTCAGTACCCGTTATTTTAAAATTCGCTTTATCTGAAGTCATGCACATTTCTCTGTTTAAAATATTTTAGTAGGTATGCATACATTCGCGTGCCACGATGACTGGTTAGAATGCGGAACTCGCAACTGAAATGATACAAGTTCAAATCCTAGATGCAGATGTGTCTGTGGACTAGACACTCAAATCCAATTGTTTTGTCACTAAATAATCTACTTATGTTGTTTTGTGGTTTAAAAACACACCAACCCACACCCAAAAATAGAATATTAAAGTAGACAGAGTTGATGAATCGTTGCCACACGATTTTACTGCAAGCAGAATCGTACGTTTAAGTACTGACATTGTTTATACTTGTCCGTCAAGTTGTTCAAGCCTGTTAACTCCACGATAGTAAAAGATTTGTCAGCAACGTATATACTTTGAGGATCTTGCAAGCACGGATCTCGTCGTATTTGATCGGTAATTACAAATAAATAGATTATCTGTAGCTTCATCTCTCGAGGTGTCATAGGGTTGACCTAGTGTGCGAGAAGGTTATGACATGTGACACCAGTGTATTCCTTACGTGCATCAGTCAATATAAAACATTTGAAGACTTCAGTTAGATCTAAGCTGTACACGTTTTTTTTTCTTCACACTGATAACTTTGTTTACATTTAACACAGTTGATTTTTGAAAATCAAGAAATGTACTTAATGTTGTATAAATAAAGGAGTTGGCAAAAAAGAACGTTCTTTGTAGACGAAATAGCGTACTTCAGCGAAAAACAAGGTATTCCGTGCCTTGGACACCTTTCTTAACTAATAATTGCTTCGCTCAGCATTGACCTGGATTGCTACATTATGTTGAAGCACAAGTCCGTTTTTTCGTTGAATAGATTTTCCTTTGCTTTTATGAAACTATTTCATTTTGTCTTTCTTTCCTTCCTTTCTTGTTAGGCATATATATATATATATATATATATATATATATATATATATATATATATATATATATATATATATATATATATATATATATATATATATATATATATATATATATATATATATATATGCGAACTCTAGTATTAATAGAAACGCAAATGTGTTCTTTTCTGGTACTTGTGTATATTTTCTCTCTTTTTTTGACATTCGGTTTGAGATATGAGTGGACCATTGTATGGTGATAATTTCAGGATTCAAAATGGTGAATCATAGAATGGTGATGACGTAAATATTTAAAAAGCTGGACCATGATATTGTGTTAAAATGAATATTCAAATGGGTGGACAAATCTATGGTGATATAAATATTCAAAAGGGTGGACCACTGTATGATGATAATTTCAACATTCAAAATTGTTGACCATTTTGTGGTGATAATATGAATATATAAAGGATGGACCATGAAATATTAGTTATATAGTGGTGAAAGTGTGTAATAACGAGAAGACTAAACCATTATATTCTGTGGCGTAGCTAAGATATTTGGGTTCCTAACCCGGTCGTTTTGCAAAGTCTACCAAATGACCCCAGCCTAATCTATAGTGTAAACAAAATTCATTCGTAGCCCATATGCGTTTCGTACTCTTGCTAAATTGTGACCCAGATCTAGATTCTATTGTATTTCCTATGCCTAGACCACTCCGGTGGCCTAGTGATTAGAGCATCCGCCTCGGATGCGGGAGGTTGTTGGTTTGATCCCCAACCAAGTCATACCAAATACATTACAATTGCACCAACCGCTGTCTCGCTAGAAGCTCGGCATTAAGATGCTAGTGTTAGGACTGGTCTGCCTGGTGTCAGGATAATGTGTCTGGGTGAGACATCATGCCACATGTCTGAGGCATGATGCCCTAGTGCTAGACATCACTATAAACTGTCACACTGCATACATCTTAGCGATATGACTGAAATTTTTTTATGCTACGTTAAAATTCAAATATCTCTCTCTCTCTCTCTCTCTCTCTCTCTCTCTCTCTCTCTCTCTCTCTCTCTCTCTCTCTCTCTCTCTCTCTCTCTCTCTCATACACACACACATATACACACATACATTTCCCATAACTACTGTCTAGTGTCATTCTATTTCCTATACCTAAAGTTCAGTGCCGTTCTATTTCATTTCCTGTATCTGATGTCCAGTGCCATTCTATGGCATTTCCTATACATAATGTCCAGTACCATTGTGTTGTGTTTTCTATGCATAATGTCCAGTACCATTGTTTTGTGTTTTCTATACATAATGTCCAGTACCATTGTTTTGAGTTTTCTATACATAATGTCCAGTACCATTGTTTTGTGTTTTCTATACATAATGTCCAGTACCATTGTATTGTGTTTTCTATGCATAATGTCCAGTACCATTGTATTGTGTTTTCTATACATAATGTCCAGTACCATTGTATTGTGTTTTCTATGCATAATGTCCAGTACCATTGTATTGTGTTTTCTATACATAATGTCCAGTACCATTGTATTGTGTTTTCTATACTCATGTCTACTGCCATCCCAATGTATTTCCTATACTTAATGTCCAATACTCGCTTTGCTTATTTTCATTTGCTTTGCACTATGTTAGAATACATTGATAAAGTCACATGCGCTTCTTGAATCGTAGTAACACTTGTCATCAATCTATCTAATCCTAGTTGGGCACAACGCTTTGTTTATACATGCCCTTCAAGTTGTTAAATCTGACAGTGTTTTAAATAGGAACAGATTTGACAGTATCTACTTTAAGGTCTCGCAAAGCTGAATCTTTTCATATTAGACCTGTCACACAGAAGGAAAGATAGAATATCTGCCCGTGCATCTCTTGATGTGTCAAATCGCTAACCCAGTATGCTGGAAGGTCATGGTATGTGATACCAATGTGTTTCCACATGCCACCGACGTAAATCCATACCATTTTCATGTACGTTTGTATACATTGGAATCTGAAACATAAGTTAGATTAGATCAATACACATTTTATTTCACATACACAACTTTGTTTGACACGTTGGATATGTTTCCCGTAAATCGCACTTCGATTAGAATGGAAATTTATTTTCAGCAGATCATCTAGTCAAAATCCGGTACACTTGGCATACGAAAAAATTCATATCGTAAAAAACAGCTAGCTTTTTTTAATGTGTTATGCAACTCTCTAACATAAATATTTACTTCGCTCATCACTTACTTGGATATGTTAAATTCGTTTCAATCAAACATTATGGTTTCAATGAATGGACTTTCCATTAAGTTTTAAAACAATTTATTTCACTTATTTTTTCTTTCCTTTCTTTCTTTCTTTCTTTCTTTCTTTCTTTCTTTCTTTCTTTCATTCTTTCTTTCTTTCTTTCTTTCTTTCTTTCTTTCTTTCTTTCTTTCTTTCTTTCTTTCTTTCTTTCTATGTACATGTCTTACATGCATGTTCTTACAAAGGCTTCAGGAATAATTCATCATAATCAAAGAATAATGATGTTTTCATTTTATTTGTTCTTTCTGTATTCTGCAATGCTATTCTATTTTTAATATGATAATAATTTGTTTATATAACGTTGTCAAATGAAATTTTTGCTAAAGAATAATCGTATATTATGCGAAACATCTACCTTTCTGTTATATTTTTATACATTTTGTCTACTACTCGCTTTACAAATGCATTTTTTTATTTAACCTTTTTATTTAAAATAAAAAATTAAAAAAACAAAAACAATAGCAAACAATTGTAACTTAGCTGTGTTTCATGAATCATAGCTGCATTTCGAGAAACGTGTGTCTAATCCAAGTTAGATTAAATGACAGTTTATTAGTAGCTGTCAGCTCCTATACGCAATTAATATTTAATATTAATATAATTTCTTTAAAAATTAATGCATGATGTTTTCAAAATTCCGGTTTTCTTCTCACTCACTAGAGCTACCTGTAACTCAGTCGTGGATCTAATACGCACGGCATTTACAATCAATGTATTCTGTATGTGTGATAAGCCTAAGTCTGAAAGATTTTCTGGAAACCTCCAATGGAACAGTTTAATCTCATATTTTATTTCACACCGATAATTTTATTTCACTCTATAGTTTAATCATAACAATGCACTATGTTCTTTGTTTTCAATGCTACTTAGAAAAAAATCCAGTCTTTACTTTTTATTTAGCTCTAAACAAGATATAAGGAAAAGTAACTACTATTGCAAAGGAACAATCGTTTTTTATTTTATTTTATTTTCAATTTAAATTTTTGGGATTATTCGGGGCCTTTGATTTATATTATATAAATATCTAATTGTATTAAACAGTCGTTCCTCGCCATTCTTCAAATGAAATACTTTCGTATTTAGTCATTTCCTGTTTTTTTCTCATAAGTTGAATTTAAAATGCAAATTACATTTAGCTCCAATGGTAATAAAACTAGAAAAGCTTATGGGATATTCAGATGTCTGTCGTCCGTCCGGCTGTAGTCCTCTAAGATTAAGTCTTATTTCTACTCCTCAATAACTACTTGGAGGATTGTTTTGAAACGTAAACACGCATATTCATCTCATACACGACTTTTTATGATGTCTAAGCTGGTTCTAAACAACAATGCTGCCAAACTGACATCCAACATGTCCTCAATTGCAGCCATCATACAAATTTTGTTGCTACAACTAAACTTCTACAGAAAGCCATATTGACGTAGGGTTTTCACTAGAAGATATCATATGATGTCCTGTTGGACTGAAATAATCATTGTGCCAGTCTGACATCTATTGTGGTCGCCACAGCAGTCATGTTGAAAATCTTGTTATTGCTATACCTGGATGGAAGGTCATAACTTTAAAATATTGTTATCGTTTCTCCAAATGGATGTCTGTATCAGCTTTGGGCTTTACACGATAGCTTCTTATGATACCAAGTTGGTCCTAAATGAACATGGTGCCAGTCGTACATCGTAAATCGAATAAGATTGCCACACATTGTTGCCATTACTTCTAGTGAATTGATGATCATTATTACCACCAAAAAGAATTCTAACGATGTCCACGTTGCATTAACTGAATATTTGCCGAGTTGACATCCACTATATGTACCGCAGCAGCTCATTTGAAAATCGATTATTGCTGAAGAATATAAGAGGCAGTCTCAACTGAGACATTTAAAATGAAGAGATGATATCCATGTACTTTCCTGATTTTAAAGATACAAACCCAAATTCTGTTTTCTGTTTCACTCATCATTTGCAGTTATTTTGTCAATTGCGCAAAGCAAAAAGATTTTTAATCAAATTGTGAATCAGATCGAATTCAAGCAGAAAGCGGTTATTAAGTCTTTTTTCGTTATTTTCTTTATCACGTTAATAATCAATCAGTGGCAATCCATTATTGAAAACCATACTGTGCATTGTTGAAACAATAGTTTTATATACATTTTAATGCAACAGTAATAGTATATCGAATTGCTCCGTAATAACGAATAGCAATTTAAACACACACACACACACACACACACACACATATATATATATATATATATATATATATATATATATATATATATATATATATATATATATATATATATATATATATATATATATATATATATATATATTTATATATATATATATATATATATATATATATATATATATATATATATATATATATATATATATATATATATATATATATATATACATATATACATATATATTCTTAAAACAGTTAAAACATGAATGAAAAGGCATGCACAAAAGTTAGGTGTTTCCTGTTTAGATAACTAAAAGCAATCTATTGCATCGCAATTTATGAAGACATTAAAATACTACTCTTTAGTTAAAAGAACCTAACCTTATCGGTGTGAACAAAAATGTTTGTTGATATGATCTAACAAGTCTCAAATTGCACATTAATTGTATACAAACTAAATCCATATGTGTTAGATTTGGACTTATCACGCATCCATTGTATACAAACATTCATCTAAGTGTTTTAGTATCAGAGTTATCACACGTTTGGAAGACACTGATGGCACACGATATGCTTTATAACACGATATGCTTTATAACACGAGGCCAAGCATATATCACCTCCGTAAATGAATAGATTTTCTATTTTTTTATGACAGGTTAAAATACAACATCCAGTTTTGGCAGAATTTCGCAGACTCTTGTGTTAAAAACTGACCACCTTGCTCTTGCCTTGATATTAACTAATCTTATGTTGCAAGAATTAACAATATCAATGTGACAAACTTGGAATAAACTAACTTGAGATATGGTGGATTCATTGTTTTTTCGTTTTTCTGTACGTGTAATACTTTGTTTTTTTTTCTTATTTATTTCATTTTTTAATTTACGTGGATGCTAATGGGTGTTGCCGGATGTTAGAAAGCTTCATTACAATTAACATAGGAATTGACTAATAACCAGGGAAGAGATGACCACGCCTTCTTATTAGCATGCCCTGTCAGGCAAGAATTGTAGTATGGTATGTTGATACATAATCGCAGTGAATTAGTGTTAATTTCTTTTAGCCTAGTCTTTAAAATAAAATCATGATAAGGTTGAAAAATGCTAAACAATTACGACGATATCAATTTATATATGATATGCATGCATTGGGCTAGATGACGGATAATAGACCTTAATTTCAGGCAATTTTTTCATTGCACATGTAAATCACGTGCTGCTTCACGCCTTTGCTATCGATGGTATTAGTTGGCGGTCCATGGGTATCTTGACGTACAGAG